ATTTTTTTAAATCTTAAAAAGACGTCAAATCTCGGAAACTAAAAGAAATTTGAGCAATAATATTTGAATGCACAATCTGCAACGCCTAGAATTAACCTGAGAGCAACACACACCATAGAGTTGAGAATTTCAGTTTTTATATAAAAGTTCTTAGAATAATTTTGAGAACAAAATCATAAAAAAACGTCATATCTCGCAAACTAAAAGAATTTGAGCAGTCAGATAATGAGGCAAGGTTTTCAACCCCTGAGAGAATCATTACAGCACCCAACTACAGGATTGACGATTTCAATTTTTTGTGGAATTTTTTACATGTAAGATTTATGAAAAATTTAGAAAAAATCACAAGAATCTTTGTATCACGTAAACTTAAAAAATTTGGGTACTCATATTTGAAGGCCCGAGTTGCAAACCCTAGGGTAATCCTGACAGGTAAACCCTAGGGTAACCTTTTGGGTTTCTAACTTCAAACTTGACGAAAAAAATAATAACAAGTACAATTGCTTTCGCGAATACAATGACTAATCAAACGAATATCAATTTACATACAGAGGCGTAGTGGAGCTTTCATTACTAGCGATACAACTCGACATAACAAAATAGTGGTAGCAAAAAAATTTCAAATAATGAAGAAAGCAGTCTACCAAACTCTTCGTATGTCTCGATAGAAGTCCATTCTAGGCAAACAGACCCAGCAAAACATTGGTCTGTGAAATGACCTAACAATGACCACGTTTATAGAACAAAAAATGAGACTTATAATTATGGCCCGTGAGATAGCTGCCTTTAATTGTAAATTAGAGTATAACAACAAGTGTAAGATATGATTGGCTTTTCGGCGATTAAGCGCACATTTTGGCGCCCATAAAGGAGGACATCAGTTCCCTATTAATCCGAGTTGTTCTAAATCATCCGATATTCAACAGACTCCTATTGAGAGTAAAAGCCCTAAAATCGAACAGAGCTAGAGTCAGATGGGAATCGATGAATTCTTTTGACCAGAACGGAGCCTTATCCCGAGCATGTGCTTATCTGACTCCCTCCGAAACTCATCCGAAAAAGTAAATTATTTCATCTTAGACAAGGATTTTTGTTTACAAGACGTTGGTTGCAAACAAAATACGACAAAGCACACAACCAGGTCAGGATAACAGCAAAGAATCATTCCTATGCGAAGAGCGCCGGTGACTATATTTCCCATCAGAACTAAAGTTGCAAACGCCCAAGCCAGAGTCAGATGCAGATGAATGACCGACAGCAGAAGTTCTGGTCCAGTGTGCGAATTGAATTTAGCTCAGATGTTCTGTCATTACGAGGCCAAACTGTGCACTGGATAGGCGCACAATTTTGTGTCTGTATGTTCAAAGAAAATTAAAGAACAAAAGAAGAACAAAGGGAGCGTCCTTGTTGCCGAATCCGCTTACAATTCACTAAATGCACAGTTTGACCGCGTAATGATTGGTGATCATCCTTTAGCATTTCCTTCCAGTGAAAATTCAATTAAAAAAAAAATTTAACGTTCTTAACTTTCACAAGCCGACGAAAGTTTCTAAGACATTTGGTAAATTTTCCTCATTTCTTTGGTACATAAATTCTAAAACATTCTCTGAAAACAACCTAACTATCAAGAGTGAAACTATGACACCCGAAAAGCATTTGCGTCAGAAATGCTTCATACTAAGTATTAAGCATAAGTATAACAGACTGCTCCGACTGAATGTTCTGACTTACCATCAATTAGTCTCGAATAGTTTCTGGTATATGAAATATTGACAAAAAACAAACTTTAGGCTGATCAAAGTGTTAAAACTAGGGTCGTTTATGGAATTAATAAGACCAATTAGCTTGCCTCAATTCAGTTTGGATCGATTATGAGTGCGGATAATTTGCCACGAATAAATAATTCCCGTATTGAAACAAACTATTATTCCAGCCAGCAAAGCCTTACTTTAGTCTAGTGCAAGCAAAGTTGCTTGGCAGTCCCAAGATTTTCGGATCGATTCCATATGAAATCAATTTTTATAAAATCGATCTGAATAAAAAACTACCCTGGGAATACATATTCAATACCAAGCAATCATAACGGCTCTAATCCTTTGAATGATATTGATGTTTTCCAGCAACCAGCAAAGGGATCAATTGAGCAATCTTCCCTCTATTGCCCCTCTATTTTTTCTGCCTCAAATAAAAAAAAGCTGTTTAGAATAATTAACGTAATGCTGAGAACAGTTTGCCGTATTCACGTACAAATTTATAGCACCAACCATGGAAACTTGCTTTCGTCGAGGCAGGGGTTGCCCAAACAAGAAATACCCTTCAGCCGGTCAATGCACTGCGTTCTATGAACACAACAACCATCTGCTTGCTTTCGATGACGTTTTTTGTAGCGTTTTACCGAGTTTGCTTAGGGGGACATAGTAGCTCAACTGGTCATTACAGGCAGAAGGCTGCGCAATTGATCTCATCAAAAGGCCTTTTCGATTGAATTTTTCGTTATTCAGAATCCCCTGACATAAAACATCGTTTACAATTAATTTGAATTTTATCTGATCGAGAAAAATACTGCAAAATTAAATACAGAGACGAACCGCAACTTCGCGCTACTTGCGATATAACAAACATAGTATGAAAAACTAACCGCCAGTAAATGAGACAAAAACCGAATGAGACATATCGCTTAGGGCTCGGATGAAACTCATTTTGAGGAATGACAAAAAATACAAAGTCCAACGGGAAAAATTATGGATAAAATTACTAAGCTGTAACTCAGCAGACACTATTCGAATAGGTGCTTGTACAGAATCAGAGTTTACAAATCTAGAACTAAAATAAAAATCAAATTTCGACACAGGCGAAGATGCCCTTCGAAAAAACCAGCTGGGAAAATGCAGAAGAGCTCTAAACAGGCAAAGCAAAGTGAAATAAGAAAAAGATTTGAAAAAGACTTTGAAAAAACCTTTAGACTAAGAGTATCATGTTCTCACATCTGCGCTACGACTGCTTGTAATTTTACTATCACTTGCTACCAATACAGCAGCTACACTTTATATCAAACTGCCAATGTTATGCAGCAAAAATTCGATCGAAAAAATTAAACTAATTAAATATTCCGGATTTGAATAACCGACCTGTTCATTAGGAGTCTCAGATCCTCCAATTTGCGCCATTGTCGCTTGGAAGTAAACTAGTGGCCCAACTAATGCTCGATCAACCTGTTCGAATATTTTTGATCATATATTGTACCGTTACGGAAATGCGTAAATTTCAATATTCAAAAAAGTGGGTTTTCCGCTAAAACCTAGTGTTTCTCTGCTTGAGTAGGGGATTAACTGCTTATTCAAAGGAGAAAAAAATTACTCACTCTTTTAATTGAAGTCTTTGTCTCAGATTTGGCTGGGAGTTAGTGAAAAAAAAGTGAAAAAAATTCCAAAAATCCACCAAAAATTCAAAAATTTTACTTTTCTTAAACCCATAAACTTTTCTCTACTAAAGCATGGGAATACACTCTGCTTCCGCATTTTAATTTTTAGATTGAATTTTATCGAGAATAGTGACGAAATAGCTTAAAAAACGGTAAACATTTGAAAAGGAATTTTTTCCAAGTCCATATCAGCTTTTCTACAAAAAAAACAGCGTAAAACAGATAACGCAGGAAAAATCTAAGCACCATGTTAACTTTAATGAACTATCAAACTAAGAATCAGCAGGTTTGTTTTTGAAAAAATATATCTTTCCAAAAACGGGCAAAATTTCAAAAACTGGACATTTTCTAAGGCCATAACTTTTTTCTCAGAACGCAAGACATAGCTGTTTGGTCAGGTAAGAATCGCAAAACAGATTTCCTTCTTTCGGTTAAACCCTTAATCTCCGATGTGGCAGGGTAGTTTTTGAGAAAAGTCAAAAAGTGTTAAAAATTAACAAATATGTAGAAAAAATGGGCTTGTTTGAGGTCATATGGTTTTTTTTACCGAATTTAGTAAGAACCCGCGTAAGAAGGGGAGATTCCCATAGTTTTTTTGATTGAAACCTTCATCTCAGATAGGTTCATTAAGTCTTTGAGAAAATGAAAAAAAAAATTCAAAACAAATAGGCCAAAAATCCCCTTACTGAAAACTTCCGAAAGCTATAAAAAAGAGGTTAAATGAAAAGAGACTAGCAAAATATGCAGGCACAAGAGACGGTTTTTCCATTGGTACCATTTTTTTTGTGAAAATCGTTTTAGTAGTTTCTGAGAAAAATTGAAATTTCTGCGATAAGTGCAAAAATTGAAAAAATTTTTTTTTTACATGTGCCATTAAATTGATTATGCCTAAATATGCTTAATACAGAGGCGAAGCTGCGCTTCGCAAACATTGCGAGAACACGATTAAAAAAGCAGCTCTATCAATTGAAATAAGAAAAAAAATAGAAATAAGGCTCGAATTAGTAAAACTTCGGCTTGGTGTCGGATTTGAAACTGCCACCTAGCAAAGTTGAGTCTCACGCACTAACCACTCAGCCACGGATGCTTAAAATCCCCAAGAACTAGCCACCAATAACGCAGCTACATAAGCTAATAAATTGCCAATTTGATGCAGCAAAAGTAGCATCAAATACAAAAAGACACAATTTTGCATGTAATAAGTTGGAAAGCATTAAGCCAGCCAAATCATGTATAAATTTCTGAAACCGAGCTTTTTTATCATTATACTGGTGTTTGAAAAAAATGACTTTTCCCAGTTCATTTGATGAATTAAAAATGAATTAGCTGTGTTAACTTTTAACTAATTAAATGTCAAAGCTCATACGATATTATACTGCTACCGCAGCATACCAATGCAAAAGTTCCACCAAAAATAATTTGCGAATTAGTTTGGAAAAAAAGAAAGTTCGTACTAATACACTTTGCTTCGCAAGTGTAAATGTGATTAAATCGAAATTTACCAAATAGGCCACCAAATGAGCACTTTTATTTGCGACTTAGGATTTAAAAAAAAATTTTCCGTAATAATACACAACGCTTCGCTTGTGTAAATCGAGGGGCATTTGAAATGCAAATCTACTTAAACTATGTCTGTTAGTTGGCAAGTCCGGTCCGCCGAGGAGGATCATGCGTGTATCCAGTGAGCAACGTTGTTCTAGTAATTCTAGGAAAAAAATTCTAGTATCTGCTTGCAATACACTTAATATCGCAAGTGAAACAATCATGTATAAATAGATTCAAAATATTCCAAAACAAACATTAAACTAAACAGCCACAGGCGTGAGTGAATAGAACTGATCTTCTAAGAGCGCATCATTATCGCCTGGAGAGGACTTTGATGACATATTGGACTGACAGTCAAGAGAGAAATCAACTTTAGTGGTTGACAGCCTCTCTTTCTGTATTAAATCAACAGCTTCAGCTTCATTCGCAGCTTCTACTGAAGACGCATTGGCACTATCTTCATCATCATCTTCGACATAATACATCTTCGTCATCATGTTCATTTTGAAAGCTACAAATATCGATCCAATGAGGAATACCAGCGTCGTCACTGAGATAACTAAACAGCTGTAATTGAATCCGAAGTTCTCAAAAACAGGCCCTGCTAGCACAGTTGATCCCGCGAAAGCACCGATTGCGAACAGATTGTTGCACCATGTTGCGACCATAAGCTTTGTCTGCTTGAGATTTTCGAAGCTGTAGTACTGGGCTATTTTTTCATATATGAGATATGAGGGCACAAAAGCGCCAGCTGAAAAGCACCCGGCCATGACGAATGATACCGATATAAACCAGATAGTCTGGAGTTGTGGAAATACTTCCGGCAAGTAGAGCACTCCAAACACAACCGAGAACCCAAACGCCGTCAGCAGTGTGATATGCATTCCGTAGCCCCTGGAAAAAAAACACGTAAAAAATACAGTGAGCACACTTTTAAAAATACAAAAGTTAAGTATTTGCTTATTGAAAAAAGATTTGCATCTCAACAAAACTTGCGAAGCGGTAACGAAGCCGACAATTTTTGAGCAACACCCGCTGAACCAAAAAAAAATGGCTCAACGGGTGTTTCGAAAGGGCATTCAGAAGTTTCAAAAAAGTCGGGCTACGGGAACTAAGCCGACAAAACGAAACAGACGGACGATAAGCCGAAAATCTCTAGTTAGCAAAAAAACAGGTACCGAGTTTTTCTTGTTAAGCAGGTGTGTTATCTCTAAATTTTTGAAATTTGAATTTATTACGAAGCAAGCTTCAATCGCAAGGGTAATAAAATACCCATGAAATATGGATAAGTTTTTGGACATAACTTGTCAACTCCAGCCGTATCTAACCTGTCTATTGCCACTCCATACAGCGGAACCATTCCCACATTCGACAACGAAAAAGTGAGAAACATAAGGCCGATTTGAATCTCGTCCAGTTTGAAGACCCTGTCTAGATAAAGCGGCAAACAAACGTCGAAAAACACCATCTGACCAGCGACAATGATTCCCAACATGCTGATAAGGACCAGGTTTGGTTTGATGATAAACTTAATGTAGGCCCACGGGTCAAAACTAGAACTGTTCGTGCTCGCTGGCTCCTCTAGCTGGCAATGATTTTCATTAGACGAATCCGATTTTATTGATGCTTCGGATTCCACTGATGATATCGATGACAAATGTGAGCGTTTTTTGGTTTCCACGTGATTTTGAGAGCGATGATGTTGACGAGATGTTAAGCATGCAGCAGTATTCTTGCTGAAGCTCATGTGAGGTGGGTTTGCGAGGAACACAGTTGACATTAGGCCACAGAAAACAACGAGTAGTCCCGCGACTAAGGGAGGCAAGAACATTCCGAAGTATTTGTAGAGTAAACTGCCAGCTGGAGGTCCTACGAGGCCTCCCAAGCTAAAACGTGGATTGATTTCACATAAAAAAATATCAAATTCAATTTAGAAAAAACGTGTTCATTTTTGATCTTTTCTAAGCGTCATTTCATTCTCAAATGTTCAAAACTGCCTGAGTACATAATTCATTATTCGCTTAAAAATTCTCAAAAACTTGCTAATGTTAAAACAGAAACTGTGAAACTCTTTGGCCTCAGACAAAAATCAATCGCTTTTAGAGTGATTAATGGAATTCGTTATTCAAGTTAGCAACACATTGGCAAAAAGTAAAACGAAATTTTTAGCATTGATTTAACTCAGTCCATCTCAAAAACCTTTTCTCTAAGTCTGCCATAAATATCACTCAAAACAAATCCGCAAAGCAGGTAGAATGATAATGAGTAGAAAGCAGTTCCCCCGACAAGGGCAGCAAAATTTAAACCGAAGCCAAATACAATAAAGCGGCGAAAAAACAACGAATTCTCAAAAAAGTTACTTTATTCTATTTCAAACATCAGGTAGCAAAGAATACGCTTCACTTTAGCACTAAAAGACCTAAAAAACAAGATCTTCTGCAAAAACCATCCAGAATTAATATTGAAACTCGAGTAATTTCAAGCAAGCGCTAATCATAAAAATACAAAAAAAAAACGAACAGAATATTTGCAAAAAAGCGCAGCCGGGACTTAGCCATAGCAACAAAGCGAATTTATTTAGATAAAGATAACAATTCGTTATCTTTATCTAAATTCTTTATCCTTATCTAAAATAAGTTTTGGAAACAATTCAATGATTTTGCAACACTCGTTTTTTTGGAACTGTTTTTTTTTTATTTTACCTGAGAAATGCTTCAACCAGAGACGTAATGGTTCCTGCATTTTCAAGAGATAGTGATGTGATGATAGGAATCAGAGTAGCCAATGCCATTGCATTGCCAACTCCAACCAAAATTTCCAAAAAAATGGATACAGTGAAGAATGTAGACCTTTCATGGATCCACTGCAGAGAGGCGGTTGCACAAGAACTAACACCCAGTATAAACATACCTAAAACCACACAAAATAACAACCGCTATCAAATACCAAAACGATAACACATAAGCCACGTAATTTGCCATGGTTTCACTTCTTCTGTCAGAGATTTATAATTTGCCTTAATTCTTGCACACAGGCGAAGCAGAGCTTTCCACAACTTGACAGCAAGTTAATAAAGTGTTTGAAGAAACGCAGGAAAACCTTAAAATAGGTAAGAAATCATTTACCAATGAGCGCAACTTAAATAATTAAATTTATGAAAGCCCAAGGCTAACAAATTGGGCGACTCATATATGACGAAAAACAATTAGTACAAAAGAATTAGAAACAAACGCACAATCGGAAAAAAAAACTAATTTTGAATCTTTCAAAACTTTGTTACTCTTGCGATGCAACAAAAACACTGCGTTACAAGAAAATGAATAGAAAACGAGAAAGAAAGCCTCTTTTCTGAAAAATTAAGTTGAAAAAAATTTGATTACTAGGCGGCAACTAGGCAAACAAATCCGGTTAACACCTGTTGAGCGGAAAAAAGGGCTGTCGTAATAAATATTTAGATAAAATATTTTAAACTTCAAAAATTGGTCTCAACCCATACTCTTAGAGATCTCTACTGAAATAAGGTATTAGTTGTATATGTACGGGAGAAACTATATTCCGTTCTTTAAAGAGAACTCATTATCAGATTTGTCTGAGTATTTTTCAAGAATTAGGGAAACTTCCAAAGAAAAACATTAAAAATTCAGGAAAATTGACTTTTCCTAAACCATACTTGCTGTTCTACAAAAAATTGCGTGCAACCATTTATGCAGGGGAGATCCTTACATCATTTTCTTCCAATTGAATCATTAACTTCAAAAATGTCGGAGCAGTATTTGAGAAAAGAAAATACGTTTTCAAAACCGATCGAAGTTTTAATAATTTACTTTTCCTAAGTCATTAGTTTTTCTGCAAAAAATATGGCGTGCCTGCTTCTACAGGGAAATTCTCTTAGGCTGTTTTTCTATTTGAACCTATAATCGCGGAGCCACTTATACAGGGAAGATCCGATAACCAGTTTTTTTTCGATTGAACCTCAGATTTGGCAGGGTAGTTTTAGAAAAACGAAGTTTTAAGTATCGCAAAAACTGTAATATTCAGAAAACCGACTTTTCCTAAAAACATTTAAATTTTCGTACATAAACTAGGGAGTCGCAGCTTCTGCACGAAAAGTTTCACGAACTTTTCCTTTGAATCAATTCTCAATCGTGGATTTGGCAGGGTAGTTTTTGAAAAAAAGCCAAAAAAATTCCAAAAAACTGTCCATTAAATAAACAGTTGACTTTACCTTTCCAAAATCGATAGCATTTTTTTCTAAATAAAAATGGCGTACCAGCGTATGCAGTGAAGACGTCCGAAACTTATTGTTTCATATAAACCATCGGGTAGTTTTGAGAACAGTCAAGAAGTTTCAAAAAACTGTAGAAGTTCAAAAGTTTGTCTTATCCGAAAACCTATAGCTTTTTCTACTTAAATTGGGGGTGCAGCCGCTTAGAAAGGGAGAATTGCCGCAACCTGTTTTCTCGATTGATTCCTCAAACCCCGATTTGGGAGCGAGTTTTTGAAAAAAAGGGAAATTCAAAAAATGACCAAAAAGTCAAAAAAATTGCCTTTTCTGAGGACAAAACAGAAGAGATTCCGCTACCTATTCTTTTCACTAGCAACTTTATTTCAGATTTGGCGTGGTAATCTTTTGGGAAAAAATGCAAGAAAATGAGTCAAACATTCCCCCCGCTGAAACTTTTGAGCTACGAAATCAGCAGACACAAAAAGTAATAGCCCAAAAAAGAGACTAGGAAAATAAGCAGACACAAAGTATTGAAAAAATGCATCAATTATACTAAATTTAGCTAACAGAGTATTACCTGCGAAAAAAGTGTAATTGCTTACACTGACCTAATTAGTGTGTCTGCCTTTACGGAAGTATCTGTCATGGTACATATTTCTAGAGACCTGCCTGTCATAGCTTGCATGAATAACAAACTATAGTCAAGAAAATTAATAAAGAAAATTTCAGCTCACCCGAAGTACAATAAAGCTTTTCTTTCCCCGGTCGTATTGTAAACATAATAACAAACGAAAATACAAAATTTGACACTTCCATTATACAAAAAGATAAACCAATTTCTAAAGTGGTTAAACCTCTTTTACTCGCTTGCAAAGAAAAATATGGCGAAGTAATAGTCTCTTCGATTCCCAGTAAAAAGTAGAATGCAAGGCCGCATGCAATTCCCAGAAAATTGAAAGTACGATTGTTTTCTTCAATGTTATTCTGTCGCTGAGAAGCTGGATTTGCTACGGCTTGTTCAGTCGGCATTCCAAAACTGATCGTACGTAACAAAGTAGACGATCGGTATCTTGTTTCCTGCAGTAAAATTTAAGTGAATTAATCAAAGAAGAGCATTTTGAAATTGGATTAAAACCTTTGCTCAATGGATTAAGAGAAAATAAACAGCAGATGCAATCAATATTTCAATACACAAAGAACTTGATGAATCGAGAAACAGTCTAATAGCTGAACTTGCATACTAAGATTTAAAGAACAGTTCAAATATTCGTCTGCCATCGAGTTTATAAACGCCAAAACTTCTGAAATGCAAGATATTACAATGTATAAGTTTTTACTCTTCGTAACACTTCGATTGAAACTAGCGATTGGTAAAGAACTCAGAGTGCACTTAGATTTTTAAGAATCTGGACTTCAATTTGCAAATATTTTAAGTGGTATAATTGAAAAAGGTTTTAAATTACAGCAGTTAACTGAACATACTTAAACGCAAACTCCTGCCTAAAATTAAAACACAAACTTAACGGTTGCTTGCTTTCAAAAACTTCAAAAAGCCTGCAAACCTTATTTAAAAATATTTATTTAGAATGTAGACAAAACTTATCATAGGCTGAGAGCTTTTTTTAAAAAATATTTACTGTAAATAACAAAAATGGACATTCGCACATTCGCAATAATACTGTTTTCAACGTATAATTTGGGCAATGTTTATCCAGAAATTGAACAAAATGTTCATGTAAACCGAGAGCAAATAATCTGAGCTATCAATCAAGAAACTGCCAATAGTCGTTTCAACAACTTGTCAATTTTTTTTTGTTCTGTACTGCCGGTTTTCACATTCTGCTTAATCTCTCTCAGGGACCTGTTATGGCAACAATAGTTTTGGAAAATTTCCATATTTTTCATTCAATTTTTGTTGATACCTCTCGCATCGCATGAATAATTCACACCGACGGGAGCACATGCAGCAGAAAATGGAAGTTAGCGTTTTCAGAAGCGTAGAAAATATGGAAAACTCCTAGAAAACAAATACTGAAACTTTCATAATTGGTTGTCCTATTTTTCTGATTTTTTAGAACAAATTCTGTGTACTGTTTTCCTAAAATAGTTTTAGAGATACACAACTAAACTTGCGTTTATTTTTGTCCACTAAGGTCTAACTTGTTTGCAAGCAACTACCAGTTTTTTTCTAGTCTGATGAGGCCAATACTTCATCTGAGGATATATTTTTTATAAATATTGTTCCCAACTGTCACTGACCTCATGATATACTTCAACTGCGCATCCTTTTTATAATCTTGAATATCCTTCGCTTTGACAATTTTCAGATTTTGACAAAAAAAATAGGGTCCGGCAATTAAGACGACAGCTGTAGAGACGACAACCGTTTTTGATGGTACTTTATGAAAAAAAGGTGGGAGTCAATTAAAAAGGACCCTTCCTTCATGCGACGGTAAAAGCACAGGTTGGATATGGCCGTACCAACGTTATATAAAACATCGGCAAAATTTTATGAATAAAAAAGTCGCTTTTAATGCATCCAAGAATTGTAAAATAAAATCTACCCTTCTCGATTATAGCAGAGATAAAATTGTCTATGTTTTTCGCACCCCCAGAGTCAGAGGATTGCACTCCTCAGAAGTGCAAGACTTATTTTTGTTCTGATAAAATTTATTGTGTCCGAGTATGATTCGTACCAATTTTCGCTTAGTTTTTTTTGCTATTTTCCTGACGGTTTTTGTAGAGCCTGGTGCTGCTCCTCCGGTACACGCAAAAATTTGTGGAACGAAGCTGCTGTGTTCCACATCCAGAATTTTTTGTAAGAGGTTTGGATGCTGAGCTGAAGTCAGAGATTATAGACCAAACAGCCAACACTCATAAGCTACTGACACTAGAGGTTTTGCATATTTGGAAGAAGAGGCCGAAGATCAACACACGTGATGAATTCCGGAGCCGGGATTTAACACTAAAATTTTAATCTATGTATAACATGGCTAAAAGTTAAAAAACTGGCATGTCAGAATCAAAAATATTCCCAAATCGAAATTTTATAACTGTGACATTCGACCAGAATGGCCAAAATGCAATTTATGCAGGATTCGAATTTTGAGCAGTAAGCCTTCCGAGCTGTTGATTTCGAAGGATTAGCCACGTTATTGGAACGTTTAGCCAAACGGTGAGGGCTAGAATATTCTAGTATTTTAAATTTTCAAAAATTCGAATGATGACGTCACATTTCTGAGAAATGCTGAAACGGCCATTTTAACAAAAAAGCGAGTGAAAAACAGAACAACTTTATCTGTGATTGCGAACAGAACGAAAATCGAGATTAAAGAAAAACGACAACGAACTACAATAGCAGAGAGCGTTCCAAGTTGCAACTATTGTGCTGCTACAATAGTTGCAAGGCCGTTGCCAACAACGGTGAAGGGTGAGAACCAGCCTTCCGGATTGGTGTGAAATTGAACTTAAGGAGCTTGATTCACTGGATTTAAGAATCCGGAAGGGTTTCGGGACTGGAACTTTTAGCCTTTTATATAAACTTTTAGCTTCTTGTCATGTCCTGAATTGAATTTAATTAACAACTGGATTCATTTTGATAAGGATGAGAAGCTAGGAGTCGGGGGAAAGGGTTGATCCATCTTCGATGGAGATGATGATTTTTATCTACTGAACAAAAGCAATAGTAATATGATAAGTAGTAGCCCTGTTTTTAGGAGTGACCTCGTGGTCTGGGGATACAGAGACCCAGCCATGAGCTCACTATTTTTGCATGTAATTCAGTTAATTTGAGCGTTCTGGTCGAAGCCGGAGAGCAGTAACGTTTTTGTCGACCCGATGTAAGAAAGACCACCGAAAAGTACTGGCTTGGTAGAGACGGTGAAAAACATGCAAAGCTCTGTTTAGACGCTAGCCAGTCGTCTTAAGACTTAGTTTTGTTATCCGTCGATATGTATCTTCCGGGCGAATGTTACATGTATGTTTTTATGGCGCTCCTGGGTGTTATTCTTTTTTAACATCATGACCGGCAGAACCGTTAACGAGCACTCCGCGCCGAGCGGATGCTCACATTAACGCCCTTATTAGGCCTAAACCGCCGGGGCGGAAGGGTAGTTCGGAACGCGGAGGCCTTCCGAATTGCCGTGAATAGTTTTTTAACCTAGTTAAGACCGAAAATTCACGAACCAGGAAGGGTGGGGGGAATCATTAACCCCTCATCCCCTGAGTGGTTTGTGACCAAAATCACTTAAAGATATAACCAAAACCAAACAAAAAGTAGTATAGTACCCAAGAAAAACAAAAAACATAAAAAATAACCGAAAAAACCAAAAACAGTAAAAAAGTAAAAAATCAGTAGAAATCATCCCCCCAGACAAGATGTGATTCAACCCCCCCGTTTGTTGTTGATAGATATATTGTTATTACAGGCATTTATATCAGTCAGGATCGTTACGATCAGTTTTGTAGCCCGTTTGTGAGGCTTGTACTGTAGGGTTATTTGAGCATTTAAGCACGTTAATGATAAATTGCGCTCAATCCGGAAGGGTCAGCTAATTTGCGCTCAATTCGGAAGGGTCTTGGGTGAAGACCGATCCGGCAAGCAGTTCAAGGAGCAACAAGAAGGGGCTCAACGACAACAACAATCGACTGTTGGGTATCGTTAACAAGTTTTGTATCCCTTTTGGTACAAAAAGTAAGATAGTAATCTGTGGGGGGCTCGACAGTGCTGCACTGTAGTGACCCTTCACCGAACTGCGAATATCCGAGTTAAGCACCTTAATTCGGATAATAAACAAACCCGGAGGGGTATAGTATTACTAATATTATTATTTATATAGCCTATATTAATAGTCTTATATCGGTTTTCAGTGAAAAACAACGAAAACAGACCGGTTTTTAGGGTCAAAATAGCGATATTTTGATCCCCCCACAAGTTGCGATTTTTGATATATCGATATTTTTTGAAACGGAAAAAAGCGCTAAGTTAGTGTGTTACATCGTAACTGCACTACTGTAATAAGTAGAACCGGTTAACTTTAGTTCGGAAGTGGTTGGAACTAGTTTGGTACCAAAAACCAAATTTTCCCATTTTTTGATAGTAAGAAGCACTATAAAATCAGAAAATTTTTTGAAATCTTTGAGTTAGGACAGTAAAAATAGTTGTTCGGACAACGTCCACTAGTGAATCTACGAGTTTTAAAACCCGCTACCCGAGAGCCTTCCGGGTTGCAGAGAAATCGAACATAACGTGTTTGATTTGGTGGATTCATCAATCCGGAGGGGTCCAGGTAGCATAGTTTTTCGCAAATTTTTTCTACAAAAGCGTTTTAGATCGGGTCTTTTACATTGAACTAGAAGAGTATAGGCCTTCTGAGCTCAGATCAATAATTTTTAGGTCGAAAGGACCAGATTTGCGGAAAAAGTTAGGCGGAACCTATAAGAGAGAAAATTTTTGAGTTTGGAAAAAAGACGTTTTGGTTAATAACTTTGGAACTACAGAGCATATCGAGTCAATCTTGGTACCATTAGATCAGAAATTAGCTAAACTTACTAGTAGGAAAGAGAATTACTCGAAAAAGCGAGCGAGAAAATTTTTTGAGATTGTTTTTAGCAAATTACACAAATCCGGAGGGGTACACCCTTCACGTTTTATAAATTTTTCTGAAAAACCCTTATTACCCTACCAAAAGTTGATAGCGATTGAACTAAGTAACTTAGGACAGTTCTAGACAAAAAGGGAGGGCTGAAGGCACAAGACAACCATAATAGAGTCGAAATTAGGCAAGTGATAAGACCCTTCACCGTTAGTGTGAATTGTCAAATAAGTGCCTTAACTTCAATCCGGAGGGGTCTAGGAAAGGAACCTATACCCTTCCCAGTTAATTCAAACAGCATAAAAGCAACGCAGAACGTATCCGGAGGGGTATAAGCTGAAATTAAGAAAACTACAAAAAGCTACTTTGACAGAGCTAAGGGTCCCAATCCGGAGGGGTCTATATTCTGACAGTCCGGAAGGGTCCTATTTGTGCCAATCCGGAGGGGTCTATATTCTGACAGTCCGGAAGGGTCCTATTTGTGCCAATCCGGAGGGGTATCATTTTATTAAGGACTTAGGTTAACGAAAGAAAGACTAAAAAGCGAGAGGTATTAGGTTATTAATACACAGGCTAGGTATCAGTGACTGCACTGGTAACTTGCCTCTCAAAAAGAACCAGACTAATACAAAACAGGTCCGAACTCGGATATTCGCGACACTAAGTCTAAATTAAAAAGAGCGTGACTCATTGGTGTGGATTG